GTTGTAGGCAGCCGTGATCGCGACGATCTGATATGCAACATTTTTGAGGCTTCGGAATCGGCTAGGCTAGCTGGCATGTGTGTCAGCGAGCTTGGAATCGCTTCATCGCAAAAAGAAGTTGGTTTTCCTCAGCCCGATTTTATTACACGTAATGTTCACGATGCGTTGATATGATGATGATAGCGGCGTCTTTTATAGTTCCTTCTTTTGATTCTTTTTTCACATGATATGAAGCAGAAGCACATATTGCACGACTGTGACAAAAAAAAAAAACAAAAAACGCTGGGCCTGCGCGGGAGGCGCAGCACAGTCATAGCGAAAGAGAAGAGTGGCCTTCCAGATTCTTTTCTAAACACTGATTGGGTAACTGCTACAAGTACACTTGCTTGATTACAACTATGGCATTAATAATAAAAATTTTAGGGTAGTAGGCCGGTATTCACTATGCTAGTGTTCGTCATTGTTCTGAGAAGCGTAGTATTCGCTAATCTATTGCGAGAAATTTTGTGCCAATTGTTCATGCAGTGGCTGGCGACGATGAGGAATTAGGCCTGAAGTGGGTATGCGCCACAGTTAATAGCTGAACAAAAACAATCTTTCGTAATTGGTTGAAGCATTGGATGACCCACTCGTCACGCTATTCGCATTGTGCGACGACTGCTTATTCTTTTTGCTGTTTTAAAACGCTTTATAAGTTGTATTAACGCGATTTATTTCCCGACATCTAGCCTGCCTAAGGCAATTTTGCCAACAAGTCCCAAGCACCGGCGTGTCTCAGTGGCAGAATACTGGGCTGGCCCCCAGCAAACCTGTTCTCGAGCCCCACTGTGTCATAGGAACTAGGTTTTTTTTCCTAATTTCACGTGATCTGGTTCCAGACACTGGCGGCGGCGGACAACTGCGGCGCCGTGCGTGACCCGAGTTTTGATCTTATAACAACTTTCGCTGTTAAAAAAAAACAAAAAAAAACTTTCTGGTAAGCCAGCGCTGCCTTCCTTGTTTTTTTTTTCGATTTTTAATGCTCTTCTGTTTTCATGCGCAGTTTCTACGTGAAGTTCCACTACTCACCCAAGAATGGACAAATAGACAGTTAAGCGGACAGAAGCTGGCGCAGTATTGTTGTTTATCTACTCATCCGCCAATAGGCTGTCCAGCAGGCCCACGAAGCGGCCACCAGATATTCCCTGTCGGATACGTGGGAGACGACCGCTACGAGCAATAGACGATTCCTGCAGGACAAAAATGATTCGTCCATTCCATTCCGACGCTGTCGACCTGTTATGGCCTATACAGGAGAGGGTGTACAAAATGAAGATGACCTATTAGGAAAGAAAAAAAAAACAAGCGAAAAGCCGAAGTACAAGGCCACCGATGCAGCAACAACAACAACAAAAAACAATAAATGAGCTGTGCAATCGTTCAATTTGATGTCCACGTATTAAAGCTAGCACACACGTTCAAGACAAATACGAATGTAGCAATAACAACGTTATGCACTTTGATCACGATAATATGAAACACATAGAATAAAAACAGTTGTACACGTGTAAGATTGTCAAAGTACATGTGCTATACGTTGTTCTTGCTTTTGTTTGCGCACCAGTGAACACTGTGCAGTACGTCGCGATAAGCTTTAGCTGCGACCATGATGAATCGACCCATCCAGCACTGGTGACGTATTTACGTCATCCGGCAGGTCAATTCACATATTATATTTGAAGGAGAAAATAATATTTAAAGGGCCTCTAAACAGCCTCTGAAAATACGAAGAACGAGCGTGCTATTGTCTCAAGTCTTAGCGGCAAAATTAGCAACGCGACCTGTTGGTTCATGTGACCTACAAAAGCCACAAAACACCGAAATCAAAAAGGCAGAACAATAGAAACCGAGACAGAGCCACGTCTCTGTTCTCTGTCTCTACTGCTCTGCTTTTTACGAGTTCGGCGTTTTGTGGCTTTTGTAGTTCACTAAGTAAGTACCAACTTGCCCAACAAGCAACTCTCTGGTTCACGCGACGTCAAGATGAAATCAGCTTTCGATTGGTCAATATACAAGAGATGTTTGTTGTAAAATTGTCGCCTACCCTGTTTTGCCATGCAGTCGCATCAGGGGGAGGAAACACCTTATACCTCCCACGTAATCACTCTCGGATGCTGATACCCAAAGGCAGCGCCGCTTTTACCACTGGCTGTTGCCGGTCATACCACTAGAAATAAAGCACGAACAGGAAACTTATTTCAAGACACAACTGGTGAGGTCACGAAATCGAGGAAAAGGACGATAAATTGAGAGAAGGGTTGCCGCTGAAGCCCTACTTTCCCACTTCACATGCAAGCGGATTGCGCTCGTGCCTTCTTTCAGAGTTGCAATGGCGCCGACGCCGCCTTCAGCACGAACAGCAGTCCGGCATCAAAGGTCCCGTTTTCTACCGCTGATAACGGGACCCCTGCTGCCGGACTACTGTTCGTGCTGAAGACGTCGCCGCCACTACAGCTCTAACATTTCTATCCACTTTTCTCCCATTCCCACTTCCCGCAGGCGCAACGCCGTGCTCTCTACCGGGCTGCAGAAATTGGGCGCCTTCTTTTAACCAACAACTTCTTTTAGGTCCGCTCACCGCTTGGGCGATGCGGCCATTCGGAAAATTATGTAATATTTGTTTTTTAATTTGCATTCGTGTGTTCTGAAGTGCCGAGAGTTAAGCGGATCGATTTCTCAGTAAGACGAAACTCGACCGGCACAAATAAAATCAACTTTTTATTGGACCTTTGGTATAAAAAAAATAACAGACTTACATGTAGTGTAAAAGTGTCAATTCATAAAAGCAGCTTTAGCTTGCAGCCGACATACGGACACAGTGAGCAAACATTGAACCCAAAATATCCGAACCAATGCGAAAATTATCAACAATCACGTAGGACACGTCGTATTTCACTCGACCACGTTTGTTATGACAGAGCGTATAATTTTCTTACAGAACATAAGTACCGAACGAGACTGAAGTTCCGAGACACAGAGAGACTTGAAGCGATCAGAAGTTTTGTTAAGGGAGAACGTCGCTGGAAACAATGTTTCGGCAAGTTGACTTGTCCTCGTCAGGGCAACAGCGTCACCTTGACGAAGAAAAGTTCACTTGTCAACACATTGGCTCCAGCGACATGGTCTGTAGTAAATTTCAGAATAATTTAGTCCACCACGCGTATTTGAGTGACAGTATTAGAAGTAAACACTCACACATTTTCAAACCGCGGCTACAAGAACTTCACGAGCAGGAAGCATCTTATAGTTACTTGACACACTTTGAACTACACGCCAAAAGTATAAGAAGTGAAAACTATATGTTGCCGAGCCAACTCGAATTTTGCCTTCGATAAACGCATTTTCCCGACAGCAGCATCGCTACCGTCTTCGCCGATAAGTCAAGCGACAGTGCACTTCTCCCAGTCCAGTTACGCTTGCAGAGAACAGGGTTTGCTCATATATTCATGAAAAAAATCAATACCTGCTCAAATGATGAGTTCCGATTCTTGTGCTCACCCGTTGCCTTTAGGAAGCGCTGAAAAACCTTCGCGGAACGAGAAATCCCAGGGTTAGCACACCACAGAGCCGCGGAAAGCATGTGTTGCCTGATTTAGCCATCTTCGACGAATGCATGGCTGACATGTTCGGCGTAGCTCACTGCGGCATCTGTTATCTGCCCGCCACAACTTGTTGTCTTTATCTTTCCGTAGTTGGCACGCCAAGCGAACGAGATAATTGAGCGCGATCCAACTTCTAATCATGCTTCTCATATCGCTGAGCGAGTGGCGAGAAGGAGCAGAGGCAAGCGCTACGAACTCAAGCCAGTCGCTTCCTGCGCTTCGGTTGACTTAAAATTCACGAAGGAATAAGAAAAAAAAACACATAAACAAAACAGAAGTCCTTTACTGGAGTATCAATTTTTTTTTTCGTTCGTAAAAACTTGTGAAAGCCAATGAATGCGAACATCAACCTCGCTCCGTTCAACCGGATCTTACAGATGCTCGGTAAGCGCTACGAGCGTGCATTTTCCTTGGAACCGAAAGTAGCGCCGAGTTTCCGGAGCCTGTTTGAACTCGGTGTGGTTTTGGGGCACTTTGAAAGTTTTACAACGAGGCATGAAGGGTCGTATGCATTTTATGTTATTGATGCTTCTGGAGTGACGGTTCGGAGTTTTATGGTATTTATCCTAAGACAGTGTGGCGACAGAATCTGCGAATCTGCACAGAACTTCATTCAGACACATCCTCGTCATTATTTAGCTTGGCGTGACATGGCTACACGCGGCACTTGCTTCCGATAAGCGACAGAGCCAGCTCAGCATCATTTGAGGCATACGTCACCAGTGTTGGCTACAAAACCAGGCTGCAAGATCACAAGATTATCATTGCTCTGCTACTTTAAACGAGCGTATCGTTAGAATGCTCGCTGGATGCTGCTGCCACAGTTTAACAAACAGTTAGTTTCATGTTGGGATCCGTCCTTTCATTGACACGACCTGCCACAACAGCGTCTGGAGAACAGCATCAGATACGGTGCAGGCTACATTGCTATCCAAACAAGATGGCGGCTGGCCGGGATGTTTAGATCTCACCAGTGTGGCAGTCTGGCAAGAAGTAAACGCTTATCAAGTCATGTTAGCTATGTTCGGTTTCACGTGAATACCAGCACGAAAGAAGAAGCACGAAAGATAGCTCGAGAAATAGCTTGGTTAGGGCTAGCTGGTTCATTTTGAAAGGGCAGCGTGAGGACACGGGTAAAAGAGATTTGCCTTTCTTTTCCCCGCGTCTTTGCGTTAACATTTTAAAGTGATTAAAGGAATGTTTGTTTTTCTTGTGTTTCACTTGCCGACGGTAGGTGGTGTCACGTAGCAAGAAAGTACGCCCAGAAGTGTTCAATTACTCGAATGCCTTGAGATGAATGTCTTATAAGCTGTCAGAATAGAAGGCCTACGATGCTGGCAAGAAATAAGACAGTTCCTATTGCTATGACGCAATTTTGGCACTTTATTTCATATACTTTCTGCTGCAGTGAGCAAGAAAAAATGTAGTACGGAAACATTCTTTCCCCTCTCAACCACGCCTCCCCCATCGCGACGCAACACAGGTTCACAAAATATGTAAGACACATAACTACGCCTAGAAACAATTCGCAAGAAGAAATTAATGGACGGTACAAGCGTAAACTAAACACTGTTAGTCTGTAGTCAAATGGTAGTTGTGATCCCACCCACTTATTTCTTGTGTATTGTTATTTTTAGGCATAGTTTTAGGTTTTTTATGCCTTACCAACTCTCCTTTACCAGATGCTCCTTAGTTTAAACCAAGACAAAATCCTGCAGAGGCCCACGAATGACGGCCTGGTTTTTGTTGTTGTTGCTGCTGCTGCTTCGGTGACGCAGGCTGACTTCAATTAGACTTGTACCATAGTTCTTGAGACAACAGTTCCGCAGGCACCCACCTAGGTACATGTAAGAAAAGCGTCAGATAATAATATTTCACCTAAGTAAAGGCTAACCACGCTTTCTTTCATTTAAGTACACGAGGCATTCAAAAATCTAGTGCGATAAAAAAAGTGGATAACACTTCAGTGACTTCAAGAAGTAAATGCATTTACCATCTTTTATATAAAGAGAATGGATAGCTTGACGTTTGTAAGCCGCTTAAAATCATTATATTCCAGCAGAAGCTACACATATACATTTTAAAAGTCTTAACGCGGCACCCCCTATAAGCATAACAACAGTGGTAGATACGCGTAATAAGCAAAAGGGCATCTGTAGGGACCAGCTGAAACATCGTGGATGAAATAATCAGGGTAGTTCTCTCGCCTCTTAGTTGCATTAAATTAGTTGTTAGGTGTCGTTTTTGCCTGTCGCCTTTGCTAACCCTGCAGCAATGCCTATTCGCTTCAACAAGCGGAATAAGAACCAAATTAACTTCTCCTAAGCCATACCTATAGTCCAATTGACAGGTCGATAATTTTGGTTGTGTCTAACATATAAACTTGCCAGTCGAAAAAATTTATTTCATTCAAGTCAAGCGTGACCGAGAATCGCACTTCTTTAAAGACAAATAAGTAAACAAGAACACATTTTTAAATAACGTTTTGGCAAATTCTGTCATCAATAAACAATAGCGAATTGATTTCAAGCGTCAGCGTTGACGTTAAGCTCACCTGCTGACGAATCAAGGCGACGCAGGAGAAAACATTCAACTTACATTATCTTCCAACAGTTTTCTTCCTCTTTGATGCCATTTCGCCAGATGACTGCCCGCCAGGAAAAGTAACAGCGGCTCCATAAACGCGCTGATGAGAGGGACGGATGTTGAGACCAAACGAACACATACGTTCACCGCCAAGCTCTCGCGCAGCTGGCACACATAACCACGCAAGCATACCGTGTACTCGGGCACTCAGCAGGTAAGGTTGCGTTAGCGACGCCACCGAGCAAATCCAGCCTTGGCCGCCAGCTTAAGCGAGTGGTCTAAAAGAAAAAAAATGGAAGCCGCCGGTCTCCCCGGTTCAGTCTCCAGCGGCGACGGCTCGGTGATTTCAAGAACAAGAAGGAACGCGTCGCGCCACTCACCGCTTTTTGCGGCACACCCGGCTGGATCGCAGCTGCGGCATCAGCGTATTCGACGAACGACAACAACCACTGCTCTATACCACGCACTTCAAGGGCTCGTCAAAATTGCAGACAAAAAAAAAAAAAAAACGAAGTTCTCGATAGACTGCGTACGTCTTGACACTCCTCGCAGGGTCCCGAATCGGCGCATCTTACTAATTTGCTGCAGCGTCCTAATAGCTAGTTCGTCGGACGAAAGGATGCGCCATTCGGTTTCCGCTATGAAAGATAGAATCGCACTCCCTAGTGCGGCAGCCTGCCGCCTCAGCGACTCTTCTGATTCGTCAATCTTACGATTTCGAGGCACTTGGGACAAACTATGTTGAACGTGCCTCGTTTACACCTACATGCAAAGTGCGGTTTTCGCCTTCCTGGCTCTGTCCTGCATAGCGATGAGACGATAGAGTATACGTTCTCTGTTACTGCCCTCGCTACAGCGCACACAGCGCCGCTAGCTGCTGCGTTAGCCCACCTCGACGAAAAACCCTTATCAGAACAGTCAGTGCTCGGAAACCAACACGATCTGTCTACAAACAGAAAATCAGTGAAGGCTTTGTTAAACTTCTGACGTAGTAGTGGCCTATTGAATAGGCGTAGCACACCAGCTCCTTCTTTTTGTTCTTTTTTTTTTCGTTCGCCTACTATTCTCTTCGCTTTCTTTCTCATCTTTCTTGCCCATTCGGCCCATCGGGGTAAACTATAGTGGCTAATGTACTCAGCTGCTGGCCCACAGGTCGCAGGATCGAATCCCGGCTGCGGCGGCTGCATTTTCGATGGAGCCGGAATGCTGTAGGCTCGTGTGCTCAGACTTCGATAAAGCCCGTTAAAAAAAAAAAAAAAAGCGGTGGTCCGAATTTCCATAGCCCTGCACTACGGCACAGCGTCTCTCATAATCACATGGTGGTTTGGAACGTTAAACCACACTCAATCTTGCCCATTCACTTTCCGCTTAGTGCAGGGTAGCAAACGGCATGCTACAATTCTGGTTTACCACCCTGCCTTTCCCTCAGTTTATTGACTCGGTCGTCCCCTCGTGGTCTTTCAGTCCCATTTATGACCTTCCCCAGCCAAAAGTTGTCTCTTCTGAAACGCTATAGCTCCTTCTTTCGGAAGATATTCGAATGTACAGCCGGCCTTGCCCTGCGGCGCGACACCTTGCGGCCGTTGCGACGTCGCGTGAACAGGAGCATGCACGGCCTTACAAACATGCAGGCCTCCTCTGCACGGGTGACAACGTTGGAATTGTGCTTGTTCAACTGCAGACTCGCGCTTGCTCAGGCCGCTTTCGCCATATGTATTTCATTAGACGAAGCGCGTTTCGACTGGATACACTCGCCTGAATAAACGACGCACTCTTTGTGGCCGGTTTCATTTTGTGGCCATTTAGAACCTTTTTTTAACGTGGCTGTTGGCATCATTATATCTCAATATCATCGCATGCCTCAAAACAGCCACAAAGCGGGCATCGTTGATGCAGGTGCGTGTTATCTGTCGAAACGTGGTTCGTCTTACGAAATAGATGTGACGAAAGCGATCCGAGGGAGCGCGGATCTTCGGCTAAACAAGCACACCTTCCGCCATTGTCATGCGTGCAGAACATCCCTGCATGTCTGTTTAGCCATTCCAGTGCACGAGACGTCACAACCCGCAACGGCCGCAAGGTGTCGCGCTGCAGAGCAAGGCCGGCTGCTCGCGCGATACACACAGACATGACCGCGACTGTACATTCAAGGATTCCCGATTTCTTTACATTTCGTACTGCGAAAAGCATACCACACACACAAAAAAAAAAAAGAACCGGGGCCAAGTTGAAGAGGCTAAGCTGTATCGTCCCCTGCTCGTGCTGTGGCGAACGCAATGGTATGAATGAACTCAATAAAGTAGCTGGCTGGGATAGTTGGTTGCACATAGCTAAAGTTAACAGTGCGAAAAAAAAAAACGCGGCCACAGACAGGGATCAACTGGATACGAGACAAGCGTTGTGGCATTCAGTCCGCGGTCGTTTTTTTTTTTTTTTTTGGGGGGGGGGGGGTGTTAACCTTTTGGATGAACTACCAACACGCCCCAACTTCCTTCCTTCTTTATATTTCGTTTCTAAACGTCTGAAATGTTTCTGTACGAATCTTATTTATCATGCCATGTACGAACTGGCGGATGACAATCTTTCTCCCATAATTGTTAGGACAAGCTGCTTAACGCCTGATAAAAATAACATTTGTAGGCGTTTCACACCCCAAAACCATGGTATGATTATGAGGAAGGCCGTAGCGGAGGGGTCTGAAAAACTTGATAATCTGATCTTTCAACATGCACCGATATAAAATATACACAGTCCTCAAGCGATGCGCCCCCATCTAAATGCGGCCAGGATTCTATCTCCCGAATTTCGGGTCAGCCTTCGAGCCCCGTCACTCTTATAGGGGTGACTGTGCTCTACGGAACTCGACGTGGGGAGGTGGTTTATAAACCACCTCGGCACTCAGAATGTCGAGTCCGTCAACAGCAGCGAGACGCTGTTTGAACGTGAGAAGTAAACCTTGTAATAATAATAATAATAATAATAATAATAATAATAATAATAATAATAATAATAATAATAATAATAATAATTAGGGTTTGCGTCCCGAAACGCTGGTATTATTATACAGGACGCCGTGGTGGAGAGTTCCGAAAATTTTGACCGCCTGGAGTTCTTCGACGTGTACTGACATCGCACAGCCCAGGGGCCGCTAGCATTCGGCCTCCATTGAGATGCGACCGCCGGGGTTCAACCGACAGCCTCGAGACCAGCAGCCCCAACCACTGGCCCACCGAGATGGACAAATAAATCATGTGACGGTGTGCCAACACCAAAATCACACAATGTAGAGACTGCTCGTTGTGCCTTCCAGGAGCTGACCTTATATCTCTAATACGTACAGCATAAGAAAGTACGCGTGTTAATGGGAAGTACCTGCTGCTGCATCCTTGACAGGCGTGAATGACGTATATTAATGCGCAAAGCACGGAGGAGTGCCGCTTCCAATAAAGGTCATCAGATAGAAGCCGGGAAGAAGAGCTAAACACTGTGTGGCTAAATGCTTCCTGCATGTGCACCGCAATTATTCCCCAGTTATACTCGTCTGGAGGCTCTTAACCTTGCAGTCACGCGCGAAACGCTATAAATGGATTCTTTGGCATTGGGGCGTATTCAACGTGTGCTCAGTCAACGAAGGCAGTAGGTTTAGCAGCCTTTCATACCCCGGTGCATCGATGGTGACATTGATGTAATGATATGAGCTATCAAGTGTGCCGCTTATACCGCAACGAAAAAAAAACATTGACAATAGTAAAAATAAATAAAAGACGCAAAACGGCACATAGGAATACGCATACAACCGGCACACCTTCACGGGTGCCATTTCTTCACGTTCGCTGGCAGGTCATCAAACTTCAAAAAAGCCAGTTGGTACAGGGTCCGTCAAAAGTCACCAGGTAACCCTTCCATAAGAATACATGGGATAGTGGCCTGGGAACTTATCAAAGAATCTGTACATCGTGTTGTGCGTGAACAGCGCGGAGACGGTACTAAGAGCGGGGAAAAGACACCGCAAGTTCAAATAAATAACTGTGCGCAAGTTTATTGCGCAGGAAAATATACACTGAAAATAAACATCGGGAAGAAATAAACAAAAGAGATATGAACTCTTACATGGGCTCCGTTAAGTAGTGCACGTCCGTCCACTCTTCGAGGTATACCAATTTAACTTGGCAGAAACACTGTCTACTTTTCTAAATGAGTCGATTGACAGCTCGCCGACGCACGTGTCCCCCCTCCACCCTCCCTTTTTTTTCTTTAGATCTTGAACGGTAAAGCACAAAATCGACGAGGCATGTCAGATTAAAAAAAAGCATATCCACGGGTCGAATGATGGAGAGTGGGGCGAAGCTGGGTCCGCACGCCGCTTCAGCCTGCCGTTATCGTACTGCAGGGTCCTCGAGGCACGCTTCTGCCTTAGCGCGCCCGCACGTCGGGGTCCCTTCTTCGAGCGCGAGCCTACCAGCCATCCGCTCGCACGACGATCAGCAGCCTTGTCCATCTTCCGTCGCCGAGCCTCTGAATGCACGCGCGCGCCAAAACGGTTTTACTGTACTGTAGAGCGCTCCCTGGCGTACGACGCCGCCGAAGAACACGCGATCGTGTCTCTCTCTCTCCTTCTATGCGTGTGACGCCAATCCTTTTCTACAAGTAACGCCCTCTAGTGTCGTACCAGTTGCATTTTTCAGCGTATAGTACTGTGATGCGCTGTATGGTCGGTTTCAAGAATTAACGAGGGGCGGTTACCCACGATGGGGACGCCCAGGAAACGCCACAAGGAGCTTCTGCCACAAAAAAATGAGAGAGGTGAATGCAATGCGCGTGTTGGCGAGCTCCCACTTGAAGACGACGAAGAGGATGGCTAGTCGTTCGTTAGTGTTTGACGTTCGTGGGCTTCTGTTACGCTGGTTTTGCTTTTTGGAGATTGGCGCAAAAAGCAAGGACAAAGGGAAGAAAGCGCGTGCACGCACGCACGCACGCACGCACGCACACACACACACACACACACACACACACACACACACACACACACACACACACACACACGCACGCACGCACGCACACACACACACAGTCGTGCCACTGACAACAATAAAGTCCCCCACGCCATCGAGTTAGCGGGAACTTTCACTATGGTATACGTAGTTCAGTGCTTCAGCGAGCGCGAGAATGACGGGAAGTGCTTGGATGTCTAAGTCTTCGTAGTTAGAGCTCCGTGTGGCTTCGCGTGGCTAGGAGCGGCTTTGCCACGGAACA